CTGGATGATCAGAGCTCAACCAGAAGAAAGAGGAGGAAAAAAAAGAATAATCTGATACAATTTGATGAACTTGACATACACCTATGGAAGCAGTAAATCAAAAGAGGTAACAAATCTTCACAGTGAGGATCATTCCCACCACTCCACACACGGAGATGACAGGGATGGGCAACTTGGATATTGTCTACCCAGAATGGGGGGGCTACAAAGGCAAGAAGTGACTGGTTTATAAGCTTTCAAGAGGGAACCTAGATCCAGAGGGCATGGAGCAAGGTAGAATCGCCACTGAGTAGTATCCAGTCTGTCTAGGTGGGGCAGAGGCAAGGAGATGGGGATAGGTCTCTTGTGATACAATAGTGAATAATTGTTATCTGGACTGATTGTAAGGGCTGGAAACGTAAAGGTAGACATTTTGTGGCAAAGGAAGGGGAGTGATTAACTTTGCAGTCTAGGAGCGGAGGTCCCTGAGACTATCAAGGGAGAAGAGCAGAGAACGGAACCCTACCCAGAGAAGCAGTGATGCAAGAGATGGTGACAGAGACGATGATGTGGAGAGATGGAGCAGCTGAGGACTTTGGACCCGGAGAGGGAGAGGGGCCATGTGCTGACGACCGGGGGATAGGCTTATGGGGTATACCCTGTAGTTGATAGATGATACATTGAGGGGATTGTAACCATGGCAAGGAAATGATGTAAGATGGGATCAATGTGAAGCTAATGTCCTCTCACATAAACTATCACATAATTCACAATAAAGCATTTTAAATATATATGTATATATATGTACTTAAGGAAGGACAAAATTATATGAATGAAGTCTCAAACACCAGAGCAGCAGAAAAATATTCCAGACCAATGTGTAGTCTTTAAAAATGGGATGACTCACAGACTTGAGGTCGTAACATATTAATAGTAATAATGTATATGTGTGATACTTTTTAAATTACAAAATGCTTTATGTGCTGGTGTGACTGTAACAAACACTGTGGAACAAGTATTGTTTTTATAGATAGATAATTAGGTTTAGAAGGTTTTAGTAACTTTTCTATAATGTACCATATCCAAAAAATTGTGAAAAGAATTTTCAACATGACTGGTTGAGCTTCACATCCTGCGCTCTTTCCCTTTTGGCCTCTGCCTCATCGGAACTTTAAGCAATGTTGTAGATGTTGTCATTTGTACACTCACACTCATTTGGCAACTATTTCTTGCACACCTATGATGCTCCGCTCATTATGCCAGGCCCCGAGGATGCTGTAATTGACAAGACACAGTCTCTGCCTTCACAGTAAGCTTCCAGTCTGGCAAAGATGTAATGTGAACCACCAATATGAAACAGTGAGGTGTAGGCTACACAGCTGTCTGCGAGAGCACATGAGAAAGGCATCTTACCAGGTCATGAGTCAGGGGAAGCTCCCCAGAGGTATTGACATTTACAGAGTCCCAAAGGGTAAGTAGGAACTATAGAAACCAAGTGTGTTCTAGACCCAAACTAAAGCATGTATGAAGTTACTCCTTAGGGGAGATGACCCTAGATCAGGTCCAGAATAGGTAAAGACCCACGGGGTTTAAAAATTCAACTTAGTATATGCCCAATTATTCATCTAATTAGAGACATCATCCATCCATCCACTAATCCATTCATGCATAGTAGCCTCTAAGATACACAATTATTGATTTAATTAATTTTATTAATGTTTATTGAGATATCTAATATATGCAAGGAGTCCTGGTATGGCGCTCTGGGTTAATGCACCAGACTGTGAAGCCATCTGAACTGCAAGGTCGGCGGTTCAAACTCACCAGCTGCTCCTCAGAAACCCTATACAGGATTGTTAGGGATCAGAACTAACTCGACAGCACTTAACAACAACAATATATGCAAAACCTGTCCCAGTCCATGTGCAGGATATAACAATACATGAGACATTATCCCAGCTGGTGTGAACCTTAGAATCTAATTGAAGAGATAAACGTGAACCCACATTACTGCAATCTGGAATGAAAGAGGTGCCCTAAGAGGCTACCATTGCCTGTGGGCATGATTTTATGGAGGGATATCGAAGTTTTAGTGGTCAAATTGTTTGCAAGCCAACATCTGTCATTCTTTTTTTCTTCTGTCTTTTAGCTTATTTGTTTTGTTTTGTTTTCTGAAATTTGTTCTTTGACAGATTCGGTGGCAACAGCATCCGGGCCACTACTAGTGGAAGTTGCCAAAACTCCTGGTGCCAGCCTGGGGGTTGCCCTAACTACCTCGATGTGCTGTAACAAACAGGTCATTGTCATAGACAAAATCAAATCTGCAAGTATTGCAGACAGGTGAGTGTTGTAGAAAGTGCCTGCTTTTCAAAACCGCATGTATGTTTCAAAAACGTGTGTAGCATATGTTATACAAGGAGGCTTCAAAAAGTTCATGTTCAAAAAGTACACCATAAACTAGAAGAGGAAAAAAAAAGAGTAATCTAATAAAAATTTATGAACCTGACCTATACCTATGGATGCAGTAGATCAAAAGAGGGAACAAATCTTTACAGCAAGGATCATTCCCACCCCCTCCA